CCAAAGGCTACGCTCACCAAAAAAGTCAATAGAAGCTGTAAGGTACAACTCAGCTGCTTCTGTTATCTGCATCTTTGCTAAAACCCATCTTCATCAGCAGTTGAGGGTGAAAACCTGGGATTTGTGATAAGGTGTAGGCTGAGGGATGGGAATAGATCTCTCTGCTGGCTCACACTTGAGGGTACCCCCAGTGCCAGATAAAGAACTGGAGAGGCAGTAGGGGAATCTGGTATATTAGGTTTGATTAATTACTGTGGGAGAGAAAGTTATCCTTGCTGCTGTGGGCTAGGTTTTCAGAGGATATGCATATATTTCCATTTGAATTAAATCTTTTTGTTATAACTGAAGATTAGCAGACTACTAATGTGAAGCAAAACCACTTTCATGTTAGTGAAGGTTTGTCTTCTCCTGGCACAAACTGTGGGTTGAACCAACAACCTTTTGAAAAACCAAGAATGCAGTTGCAGAGACAGACTTTCTGTTTGTCTGGAACACACATAACCCTTAAGTGAACCTGGTCCATCAATACCTGCCTTGAAATACCTGATTTTCAGAAGTTGAATCTTCTTGGCTCTCTATGTAATATGTATTTAGGCAACAGAAATAAAATTTATACAGTAACACAGCATACATACATTTGTTTTATACTAAGAAGCATATATAAAATGCTAGTGGAAGTAATTCTGATTTCTAAACAAGTTGGAATATTTAACCACTAAGATGTGTATAAAGTGTATTTTGTCATCAGTTAGGGTTTACATCTGAGCAAAACTGAGTTGAAGTTCATTTAATATTGCTGAAAAAGTGATAGATTTTGGTCAAAAGAGAAGTAATTTTCCAAGATAAAATTGTAGTCAAGATTTCAGCCATTTTACATCAAGATCTCACTGGACTACTTTCTTTATAGTTGGCTTTACCCACCATAAAAGAGAAAAAAAGAGGAAATAGGCACTTTCTGGGTTTAGAGCGCACATGGAATATGATAGGATCAGACATCTTAGGATTCAGGTTCCGGGAAGGCTTTTCTAGTAACTAAGAGACCCTTTGAAGTCTTTAAAATGAGATTCCAAAGGCAACAGAGCATGGAAAGTCCTAAAGCATCATCTAGTCATAGTTAAAAATCCTCTTGGATAGAGTCAAAACAAACTCTGATTTTTGCTGCCTTTTTTCTGAACAAAATTAAGTAAATCAGGCAAAATTCTGAAACACAAACGGAAATGAAGGAAGGAGTAAACAGTGATAAGGAGTGATTTTTTTTTTTTTTTCTATCAAAGATAAAGAGTTAGCAAATCACCTTGTTATCTCCAAGATTTGTTCAGTCAATCTCACGTTTTAAAATCATGAATTCAAAAAGAGTATTTTGTGTGCCCACTTAGATTCTTTTCCTTGAACAAGATGCAGAATTTATTTTTTTGTTAAAAAGGTTTGGGCTTTGGCAAGTTATAGTAATTTTTTGTCAAAGAGAAATTTTTTTTATGATTAATGACAGATTTTTCTGGGTGACCTAACTTCTTGGCTGCTGCCTAATTCTTGCTTTAGTTTTTCAGTGAGTGACTCAGTTCTCACTTTGCCATTTAGTTTTCAGATTGAAAGCAAAGCTGTCAGGTGCAAAGTGATTTCCCCTGCTTAGAGGAGATCACTGTCCTCTGATTTGATTAATTCACTCTTGAGTTATCACCTTTATGCCCACCAGAAGGCTCTACTGCTTACTGAAACGTGCACAGAACCATGTTCTTTGGGTACCTAACAAGGTCAGCACTGTTGTAAACAGGATTTTGCAATTTGCTTGCACTGGGACAGGATAAACGTATTTCTTTAACTAAGCAAATAATTCTAATGTTTTTTGAAGCAATTGAATGATAAGTACAGATTGCTTACAACTGATGAGTGAGGATTTGGTTCAGCATTTATTTATGTAATGAAATTTGTATCTGCACACATTTAATTCAGTGGCTGGTAACTAAAAACCTTAGAAATTTTAAAACTTTCACTATTTGTGCTGTTACTTGCATCGTATGTGTGTATATATTTTTTTATTTTTAACTAGAGGAGTTTGAAATACAAAGACCCTAATTCCTCACCATCTTGGCATTCTCATAATCCCATTTGATAAGAGTATCTCTATGAATTTTGGCATTTGCCAAAGCTGTGATGAAGTTATCTTTTTACAGACATTTCTCAATGTGAAGATTGTTCTTCACAATATTCATACTTCACACCTCATGGACTGAAAAGAAGTAGTTAATTTGATCTACAAAACTGTCAGGACAGCTTCCTTTATGAACTAAGTTATGATAGGTAAAAATATGATTTTTTTTTAGATTTTATTTTAGTAGCACAAGTTAGTGAATTCAAAAGGGAAAAGAATTCCTTTTATTTATTATGTAAGTGGAAAATTAGGATAAAATGAGAAGAAACCTCTTGGAGCAACACTTTTCGTGTCCATTGATTAGTTTGACTGCAGTAGTTCTGGCATTCCATCCTATGAAACAGGTTTGATTTACCTTTAATTTTCAGAACTGGAAATCATGAAACAAAAATGTTTGAACACACACATAAATATATCCTTTTCATCTGTATGGTTTTAAAAAATATGCTTTTCACAGAAGGATAAAAATTGCCTGTTTAAACTTCTAATGTTAATTTTTTTTCCTTAGGGAAGGTGTACTAGTCCAGGTGGGCATTATTTTTTCTGGGTTTTTTTTTTTGTTTGTTTTGCTTTTTGCCCCCTCATATAACATTATTTTCTTTATGGTTATTGATTTTAGTAGAGCCATAAGCACATCTTCAGAAAGGCTGTTTATATCTTTTGGTGAACAAAGGGTATGACAAAAAGTTTTCCGATAATAGGGCTACAGTACTAATTTCTTTAGTTTCTCAGAAAACCCAGCTTATCAGTGTTTGCATTTTTCTAGTCCTCTGTCTATATTTGCCAATATATTCTACTTGTCCAAAAAAAGCATTTGGGTGTTATTCCTTAAGATACAATAGATAAATTAGAGTATTACACTTAAGATGGTGGGAACTTCCTACATAATTCAGCCAATTTAAAGATGGTTCATCAAAGTGCCCATCAGTTACCAGATAATTATTACAATTTCATTTGATTTTTCTCCTCGTACTCATTGTCTTTACTAGAAAAAGGATTGGATTTTTTCCCCACTGCAATATAAACTTAAGGGGTTAGTGACTTGAGTTTGCCTTTCTGTAATTTGCAATAGTTACCATCACTAAATTATCGTGAATTGTTCAGACAACTACAAGAAAGATTCATCATTGGCACAAGAGGATGTGGTGTTCTCTAATGGGCTCACTACAGAATGTTTAAAGGTGCCATTAATGTGCTTAAGCACATGGGATCCTTCACAGAACTGAGAGCCTCTGCTTGAATTTGAAATAATGCTAAATTGCTAACAAAGTTTTACTTAAGCATCATGGAACTAAAAAAGCATCTCTGTATAATTAATTACTCAGCTCTAGATGCTGTCATAATATGTTTGTAAATAATAACAACAAAAAAACCTAGGTACTGTGAACATTCACCAATCTACATTAATTCCGAAGAATCAGTTTCAACAGTCAGTAACATTTTTTCCAGTGATTTTTATGGGAACAACATTTCACTTCAAAACTAGTCCTATGGATCTCCATTGTAGCAATGCCCTCCTGAAACTCCAAGGGAGTCTTCTTGAATATGGACCAAATAATTTAGTTGGCTGCTGGCCATGTGTTGTCTTTCAGAGGAATATGGTTATTCACTATGTAATAGTGTAGGAAGAAAGGAGACATATGGAAACAAATTTTAAAAGAAACAGTAACATTAGTCAATGCAGTTTTAGCCACACAAGTTGCCAAACACTTAATGTAGTCATGAAGTAAAGAAACAAAAGATGAAGCCCACTAGCCAGGCACGTAGCATGCGAAAGTGCTGCTCTGATAGAAAACAAGCACTCAGCTTCAGCTGAAGGCTGAAACACACAGTTCTTGAAGTTTGATTTATGGATTTCTTTGGCTGCTGCTGTTATAAAAAGCACACTATTATATACAACAAATTAAAACTTTTTTTTAACACAGCACTCTTGGAAATATATTTGTTCTTTTATTTGTCTCTGAACACTAGACCAGCATGTCCCTGGCCCCTTTTCATTATAATTTTGTTTTGAAATGTGCAGTATAATCCTATGTATTTTCCTGCTGCATCTTAATAAAGTAATCTCTTTTCAAGCAGATGTCATGTTTCTCTAAATAAACAATGTTTATAACAACACAAAAGACAAAATAGCAAAAATAGTGACTGTAAAAATTGATGCCTTCAAATATAAATCAAAGATTATATAGGTATTTGTGTGGAAAATACATGTTAGTACAATTATTTTTCCAGTTCAGAATTTGTATTTGATACAGATTCATGAAATATTGTATGTCCATTCTCTCTAGATGAGTCATGGTTTTGGAAGAAAGGGAGGAGAATAATTTTTCAGCATCAGGATCATTGTAATAATGAACTGCAGAAACTATAATAGATTTTGTTCCTGGCTTGGCAAACTATGTAAAAGATTTTGCAAGAGAGTTTACATAATTCTTTCCATTGAACTTTCTAGTATTGCTAAGTTTTAATTGTTAACTCATACACACCAAACTTTTAGGTAGTTTGTGCACTACATAAATGTGGTTTAATATTTCAGGAATATTTTATGAGGAGAGTTGGTGGTTATACATTTTCGTACATACAACCTTAGTTCACTTGTTAGAATAGGCTCTCTGTTTGATAATAGTTCCCAGCTGTAACTAATACGTTAGCATATCTACAATGTAGTATTTAAAATGACGCATTTCCAAATCAATAGCAAATGTCCTGCTGTAGGATTAATTGGAAAACTTGTTTTACACAATGGTCAGTACACAATACAAAACTCTTTTGGAATTACGGTAAATCAAGGAATAGGAAAAAATGATGTGTAAATTTCTAAAAACTTAGGGAAAGCAAAAATATTACTTACTGTAGTTGTTGTTTGCTTCTCTTGTCCCTTTCACTTTGCCTCGCTTATCAATCCTCATATACCACTGAGTTCGACAGAAAAGTCTTCTCACTCTTACATCCCCCCCTTCCATATAATCATAGCTTCTGGTGTGTCTCTCAGGGCTGGAACAGTTCACATTTGTAGCCATTTGCTCTGGAGTCATGTCATTGCAAGCTAAAGATATAGTGCCCATTAGAAAGATAATGTAAAAGTATGATCTGTAGAGCAAAATTGGCAGGATCCATGTCAGTATCCATTTGTGCATTATAGTGCAGTGTTCTGGGTGTTCATGAACAACATAATGAAAATTAAATCTCAAGTAGACTGTTGCTCTTAGGTCACCGACCTGCCTTCTGTCTTTACGAGTTACAGATTCATTTAAGTGAGATTGCTCCCTCTTCTAGAATTCTGATCGTTATTCCTTAATAGTTAATGGCGAAATAGAAGAGCTTCTTAAATATCTCTTCAGTCAGAATATCCTTTAAAGACACAAGTTATAAAAACCTTTGTTGTTGTGACCTTCTTTACTACTTGAATTTGCTGCTTGCACTGAAAGTAAAAGATCTGTGAGAAAAGGTGCATGTGTAAGTCGTTATGCTCAATTGTTACAAATGTGCAAGGATACATTATGCTAATGAAAAGTACTACACAGAAATACATGACATGCTGAGCTTATTTTAAAAAATATACTAATACATATACAATAGATATATCCCATACAACTTTTTACATAACCAGACATTTACACTGATTGTAAACACAGTTCTCTCTTCAGTTTTAAGTCCTTCCAAAAATCTTATTGATTCATTTCAATTCTCATGCATGATAAAATTCTCCTGATTACTCCATACCTATATATTTACTATTAGCACAATCTATCTTACAACTTTTCTCTAGTTCAGGTTTCAAAATAGATCTCATGGCTTTAGCCCTGTGTTTTTATTCCTACCCTTTTCAGATTATTAGTAGAAATAGTTTTCTTAATTATTTTTTAGCATCTAGCATATAGAATAACGATAAGTTATTAGCTATTAGAAACCGTTGAATGATCTTGTAAAGGACAGATAACTTACTTGTTCCTGTTGATAAGAGCTGGATACCCAAGTACTCCATTTCTGTTGTCTCCTTTTTGCAACATGAGACACTCCACTGTAGCTACAAACTTTTTCAGCTCAGAAAGACTCCACCAGAATTATAATTGTTTCCATAAATCAACACGCTGGAGAGATGGTGTGTATGTGCTTTTGCGTGCGCGTGCATGTGTGCGTTGAGCCTGTTCAGTCCTTTTCGATAAATACCTTTGCTGACCTCACTTGGAAGCAATTAGAATTTAACCAGTCAGCTGTCAGTTGAATGCACGAACAAAAGTAAAAGGAGACTTGCATTGTATCGTGTCCAATGGTCATCAGAGGGAGCTATGTACATAGTTTATGCTTTAGATCTCCAAGAATCTTCTTTCTAAAAATGTATATTTTGTGCTGCGTGGATAGAATTGCCTCACATGCTAGTTAGTATTTCTGTGCTCTGGTTTAGGTCAGTATTTTTCTGTCCTTAAAAATTCCTCCTCCTCTCTTTTGTACTCACATGCTTATCTCTGTGCTTTCAAATCTCTTCTGCAGTTTGGTGGATTCATAGTCTGCTTAGTGCCTTTCTGAAGGATATGTGAAACGTGGGTCTGTTACATACCGTGGAGAAGAGTGTGCTATAACCACTAGAGATCATGAGGTGTATTTTTATATCATGGATTTGAAAAGAGGGACCACTGCACTGAGGTTTTACTAGGTCACTAGGTGAAAAGGAGAACGTATATTTGGATATTTCCAAGTCTGCATTCAAGCACAACCTTTATCAGCTTGAAGGAAAAGTTGCTACTAAGGAACAGCCTTTCTTAGCATATGTAGTTGGTTGTGGAAACTTACAATGGGAGGATGAAAACTGGCAGCAATGTAAGAAAACCCCTAATACTGCACACCAAGCAACAGCTTAAAATCTAGAGAATCAAAATCATGGGTGGATACACCTGGTTTTCTGCTTTTGTGTACCTATTTCCCTCTCTGGCATCAGCCTGCTCATGTTCCATTTCACCCCTAAATCCTGTTGAGTTTCTGATGAATGCATTTGTAAAACACACTGAAGCAAATTTTTTAGTAGCTCTTTATCCTGTTTAACTCCCCTACTGTTAATGTAAGTACACCTCAGTCCCTTTAGTAAGTTATATCAACAAGGAAAGTTTGGAGTTAATCCAGTTATTAAGAATAGTTTACTTATGTTTAATAGTTTATGCTTGATAATATAATGCAGTTTATCATTCCATGCTTGTATCCCATCCCCATTCCTTTCCTCTCTCTATAATGGGGTAGCAGTTACTTATTAAAAATTAAGTGCAGTGTAGAGTCAGTTAAAAATCCCAGGGAGTACGTATGTGCCACCTTGTGGTGAGGGGGACATAAGTAAACAAGACTGATCCAAAATCAACACAAAGGTGCACCAGGCAACCTTGTAGTACTCAGCCTTTCCTATCCACGAAGAGAATGAGTAATCTCCTTCCTTAACATCAACAGCCTCCTTGTCAGCACTCACACGGATCAGTCCCTTTGTCACTCATTTTGCATTCTTTTTTCACCATTTTTACACGTAGTCCAGAGTTGATAGATTTTTCTTGTTGTAATTTCTATTTCATATTGTTTTCTGTGTTCTGTAGCTCAGCCTTATTTTCCTACTTTAGCAAAAGGCTCAGTATATGCACCTTTCAGATATGAAAGATGTGCTGCTGAGGGCTTTCAAAGTCTGCATACCCACAGCTGATACACAAAGTGCCTTTCATTAGTTAACTGCTGTAAACTATGATCACAGCTATCTCCAGTTTGACTTCTGTCTTGGGATGCCGTGGGGACTGAAGTGACTTATCCCACTTGTGGCTGTTGCAGTACGTTTGCTGGGTTTATATCAGCATGTTCTCTGGTCCATTCCAGTCTGAATTCAGAATGATAGCAATGAAAAAAATTTGTGGTATTCAAATGGCTTATCTCTTGCATATTATAAAGAAAGCAATCAAGGATGAAAGGTAATCTGTGTTTTACTCAGCAAAATAGGATGCAAGTAAAAATGTTTTTGTAAATATTCTGGGTCTTTTATTTCCAATAACAACCTGCACTTTCAGATCCATACTGGTTTTAATTTTTCTTTTTCCTTGCTAACATACTGTTTCTGACAGTTAGTACCAGGAGAAAAAATACATACCTGAGGTTTCAGTTCCAGAAAGCTGGAGCTATTCGTAGTCCAGGCATAGGCTTGTATTTCTCTTGGCTCTGGAAAAATAAATCACTTGCTGAAGTGATTTTTCTTAAGTGGTGCCTCACTTCAAATCTCTGTAAACTTTTTTAGTTAAGAATAAATGAAAAGTGACTTAGATAAGGCACTAGCTCTAATTTTATTTGGTGAACAATGCAGTTACTATTTCATTATTGCTGCTAACATTCATATCCTCATATCTTGAAATTATAGAATATCTTTCCACCATGCTTTAGCTGCATTTAATTTTATTTAATTTCACATTTTTATATCTTGCTATACAAGTCCAACTGTATTTTTTAAAGGAGGGATGCCATCTCGCTGTGCATGTGTATATCAGGCTTCTCTGCATGCATCTCCAAGCCTCTGAATGGCCCAATATGCATCTGATAAATCAAGCATAACTATTATCTCTATCAAATTGGACTAGTTTAGGTTTCGAGAAGATTTCACTTGACTGACACTTGGTACTCTAACAGTTTAACGAAGTGCATGCCCAGGCCTTTGTACTACAATCCCAAGCAAATCTTTAATAATATATAGAATTTTTCCACTTGTGATTTTCTGTTTCTTTGGTGATCAGGTTTCAAGACCACAGGAAACACGGAAATGTGTGAAATGCACATGCTGTAAAGCATCCTTTAATACTTAATGCATGCACTGGTGTCTCCTTCCTGTTGATAAGAGCTTTCCACAGCATTGTTACAGTGCACATGCTGAAAAGGAAAGTGGAAATTAATTGCAAGCCCTTTGGTTCTTATTGTAAAGATTGTGCATAGGTCTCCAGTTAAAATAGAGCTTAATTAAGTTTTTCCTTACATAGGAAATTACTTTTTGTCCTTTCAGATGAAAATATCACCATAAGGACCTATGGTTTCCTCATCTCCAGGCTGGCCTGCTGCAAATTTATTGCACAGCTGTGGCATTGGGTCATGAATGTGACTTTTAAAAACCTCCAGTTTGTCCAGTTTGCCCTTAGGGCAACACATCCCTGCTAAGAAACATAATCCTCTTCCTCCTTGTTCCTTGATCCATTTCAAATTTTCTTTAGAACACCTTCCAGAACTTCCAGAGTTTAAGGTAGTAGGAAGATAAAAATCTCTGTATCAGACTTTAAACCCAAGATCTTGGGTTTTAATGCCCTGCAGCAATAGCTAAAATGGGATTGGAAGATCCCAGGGAAAAAATACCACACATGTGAAGGTGCTAAATATTCTTGTGATTAAAGCCTTATCCACAGTTTCCAGATCTCAGAAATCAGGATCAGATCAAGGCTGACTATTATTACATGCGAAAGATACAAGAAAAGTGCTACAGTTGGAGCAAATCTTTGGTCAACATTGCAGTATCTGAGAAACACTGCAACATGAGTGGGAAATAAACTCATATAATGAGGCAGTAAAGACAAGAGATACAAGGAATATTGCACTTCAGTTTGCATTTATCTTTTCAAGTTGTAAGGTTCAGATTAAAAACTAGAACTATGAATCTTTTGTCTCCCTAACTATAAGAGTGTCTTTTTGGTTTTGGTAACTGGTATGGGTTATTAAAATCATATTGAAAAGACAACAGCATTTTTTTCCTAGCATTTTTCAAAACAGATCTCTTCAACATCATTCCTTTTTTTGTTTCCTCCTATTCATCCAGATCATATTGAGCTGATTTAAATCTACAGGAAAATTTGAATGGGATGCAGTAGATACTTGGAAAAGAAACCCCCTCCAAACTATCAAATAGTTTGACTACTACATAACTAATTCCTTTTCTTTTAATTAGTTACAGCAGATGTGTTTTATATATTTTATTTTAGGGAAAACAAAGTCAGGGAATACCTTAGCTCAGTGAGTTGTAAACTTGAAGGTAAATCCATCCAGGCTTTTTTCACTTGGACAATGAAGTATCATGGTACTGACTTTTGAAGGAGATAGAATAAAACCAGAATTCAATGGCAGCCAGATGAATCCTTCCTTTCTGAATAATAACCCTCAACATCAGGGAATTCTACTTGGGATGACATCAGGACACTCAGGCAATGTTTTTCATAAACTCAGATGTTAATGCAGAATTGTAACAGTACATTTTTGGTGGGGATAAAACAAATAGAGAACTGGTATGAGGAAACACTGAGGAGATTCATTTGGTTCATCTCACTTATTACCAACTATGATGCTCAGAGGTCTCTCTTCTCTTTCTGAAGCGATCCATACATTTGTAGTCACATTTTTGTTTTTCCAAAATACTTAACCATGCAGTGATTTCATCTGCCTGACTTTAAATTTATTCCTTTTAACAAAATAAAAAACTTGTAGCATTTTTTTATATACACAGATGGTTGGATAAGAACTAGCATTAAGACCTAGATTTGTGGAATCTGTAGCTTAGCGTCACCTTCTGCAGCTGTCTCAAATTAAATAGAGGTGTGATACATCCAATATCTACTGTTCCTGTTGCATACTGTAGGTGTCAAAATGCTTCTGTGATTGATTTTTAAAAATCTGAGCTCACATATATACACATCATCCACTGAAACATTCTTAATGCTGTGAAATAAAATACTCAAAAGGCACAAATTCTAGCTACCCATCTCATGCATTCTGTCAGGGAGAAATTTGTGAAGAAAACAATAATAATAAAACTTAGTTTGTATCATAGTACATACTCACACACTCAACCAAACCAGTGGTTATCAAAGTAAACTTTTGGCATCTCTGTATAATTCAGTGAGTACAGGCTTTCACTCAAGGTTTAATGTAAATTCCTTCTTTATGGTTCTCTGTTATTTACGAGTGTCTTAAGGTCTGAGATTTAACTAGACATTTTTTCAGCGGCTCTCTCTGTACTAAGGCAGTAAAGCAGGTTGGTACAGCAAATGCAACAAATACAAAATAACAAAAGGTGGAACTGTATATGGCAGAAATGCTACTGGATTACTACTGTGTATTTATTATTTTATTTTGGGAAACGAAAGTAGGACCTTGCCTGGAGTAAGACCTTTCCTAACTGTCAGCTAATTACGTGGGCTATTGTTACTTGTGTTCCAAAAGCAAAATAATGTACAGGGAAACTGCCC